CCACCCTCCCCGTGCATCTCGGAGAGGCAGGAGTGAGGAGTAAAAGCAGGGATCCTTAGAAACTCATAAGATGGAGAATTGTACCAGAGGCCTGGGGACCCGCGTGTACCCGGGGCAGGAGAGGCCCTGCTGGCCACGGCAGGTGCAGGTGGGCCCGGCCGTCCCTAGGCCTACACGACCACAGAGGCTACCCTGCCTGGGTTTACCTGGGGGAGGGCACAGCCCCGAGGCTCTTGAAAGAATGTTCCATGACATTGCAAGTCCCACCCCTACCCTGGCCCCCGCCTCTTGTTGGTTCTTACCGTCTGAACACCCCTCCACCTGCCTGCCGACATCCCCGTGTTTCTGCTGCTGCCTGAGCCACACAGGCCACTGGTGATTGGGCATGAGCCCCGGGCGAGGCCCGTGTGTGCGTCCAGGCCGCCCTTCCATCCTCCTCATTTGTGTCTCTGCTCACCTCCGGCTCCTTCCACACTAGCGCCTCGGCGGCCTTTGTTGACCCTCCTGGAACATTCTTTCCACCTGCCCTTCTCCACAGCCTCCCAAGCCTCCGGACACAGCCCCACACCAGGACGCAGCCCCTGGCTTGGCCGACAGGCCTCCCCATAGGCAGGGAGTGTGTGGGCCGAACACCGCACGCTCTCAGGGCCAGCTTCACGCCCGGCCCGTGGTGGCATCAGATGAATGTTGATGGATGAGAGAGTTAATGTGGTTTCTTACCCATCCCTGGAAAGATTACCGAATGAGTGGTGTATTCTAAGACTTTGGGCATCCCTGACTCCAGGACGGGTCTCAGTGGTGACAAATCCTAGCGGTGACAGGCTCCGTGGGCAGGCCCCTCTGTGAGGTAAGAAAGCAGGCAGGTTTCACACAGTCTGGCCACAGTGCCAGAGTGAAGGTGACGTACAGGCCCTTGCCCGGAGCACCACAGAGGACGGCGGGTCCCTTCTTAGACACCATGACCCAGCAAGGGAGAAGGAGAGGGGCCCTGAGACACATGGAGACACTGGATGTGGGAAGTGAGATCCCACCATGGAGACCAGCAGCCTCTGGGGATTCCAGGGCCCATCCCTGTCCCGTGCCCAGCCCGGCCCTGGTGTGCCCCCACCCCACCCTCCCGTGGTCACCGGGGTCTGCGGCTGTCTCTTCACACTTGATAGGACAGTCCGGTGTCAGAGCTCCCGGTGTGCGTGATCTTCCTTTGAGCTCCTTCCAAGGTCCCTACATCCCAGGACCGGCACCGACTGTGGTCAGAGAATGCCATCGCGATTCCTAAATGTCACATTCCCGGCTCACGTTTCTTGGCATCATGCTTCCTCTTGAACAGGATCATTATGTGGCTGATGTACTTATCTATCAAGACGTTATGTACATCGTTTAAACAACGAAGAACAGGGACAGTTTAAATTCTGATCTTTTAGGCCTAAAATTAAAGGTCCACCTAAAGTGAGGTTTTTTTCTTTAAAACAGGTTTTGTTCAGATAGCAGAATCACAAATCAACACTTGTGTTAAAAGGTCTCATACCACGGGGCACCTGGGTGGCTCGGTCGGTTGGGCGTCCGACTTCGGCTCGGGTCACAATCTCACGGTTTGTGGGTTCAGGCCCCACGTCGGGGTCTGTGCTGACTGCTCGGAGCCTGGAGTGTGCTTCAGATTCTGCATCTCCTTCTCCCTCTGCCCCTCCCCCACTTGTGCTCTCTCTCTCTCTCTCTCTCTCTCTCTCTCTCTCTCTCTCAAAAATAAATAAATGTAAAAAAAAAAATTTTTTTTAAAAAAGGTCTCATACCTTAAAGAACCTCAATATAATAAATAAAATATTTAAATAGATTACTATTCCAAAGTTATTGCACAAAATTCAATTCTGAGTGCTCTGTGCTAGAGTGTGGCACTTTTGTGTTTCAGCTGTCTTCTCTGTAACTATCATATTTTTTTTTTAATTTGTTTATTCTCACAGTTCTGTAATCGGAACTGGGCCCCGTGGGCAGGTCTGGTGCTGCACACGGCCTGCGGTGGGCTGGCCAGTCCGGGTGGCTCGGGGCAGGGCTGCAGCCGGCCTCCAGGGGGGAAGAAGCCTCTGCGAGGCTCGGCCAGGAAGTGAAGCACATTCACACTGCCTTCTGTGTCGATCTGACCAACTCACAGGACGACAGATGCACAGAGAGGGGGACAGGTCCCACCTGTTCATGTGCGGCTCAGAGCACGTCCTGCAGGGGGGAAGTTCCGTTTCGGAGGCGGTCTCTGATAAGCAGGTTCTGGCTCAGCTTCTAGAGAGTCCTGATTCCTTTTTAGTTGGACAAGTGAGAAACGCTGGCCTGTTCTGCATGCGTCTTTATGGCTCTCTTCCCATCTGCAACTTCCTCTCTTTCCTGTCTGGAAGAATAAGAGGGAGAATGGTACTAATTTTCTCGTTTTTATACCTCCTTCAGTTCAGGTTAAAATAGCAACGAAGGCTTTATCAGTAAGAATATAGTAATGTTGACTCAGGAGAACAAAACGGATTGTAGCTGAAGGCCGTCCTTGTTCATGCTTGTCGGCCAGTGTGGCTGGATCCCGCGCGACTCTGAGGGTTCGGTCCCTCTTCCCAAGGCCCAGAGCCCAGCTCTGGGGTCTCTGGGCACCTCGTGCAGCCCACTGCTCCCCCAGCCCCCAGCTCGCCAACGAGGGCGCTCAGGTGACGTGGCTGCACTTCCTACAAAGCTACGACGTGGCACCTGTAAACCCAGAAAACAAGCAAAACACAAGGGAGCGTCCGGTCGAGTTCTGTAAATTAAAGTGCTTGTCCGTGGACATGCACCACGGAGGGCAGGACTCCCTGGGGACATCCTCCAGTCTCTAGGCAGGTGGGGGGAGGGAGGGGACATGAGGGACGTGTCCAGCAGCGGCTCGAACGCGTCACCTGCAATATGACCGCAGTGCCCGTTTCTTGCCACCCAGGTCGCCCCGGGCCATCTGGGTAAATCCCCACCTCACCTCGGTGCTGTGGCCACACTCGTGTCCGTGGCACCATGGTTCTCTGCTCAGGTGCCGCCGCCAGCCTGCGTGAGGCGCTCACCCCCACCGCCACATGAACCCCTTGCCCACCTGGGGCCCACCCCACTCCAGTTCCCAGACCCCCGCGCTCGCCCTGCCTTCCCTTCCACGCCGTTTAACCTCCCACAGGGCCCCGGTCAGGCCCCACAGCCTTGAAGAATCCTGGTCGTTCGAAAACGTAGAAATCTTCAGGCCCACCCTCTGGAAATCTCTCCCATCTTGTGGGTATCTGACCTGTTCTTTACCTTGACAGCCCCGTTCCGCTTGTTTCCAACAAGGACGAGATTTCAGAGTCAGGTTTCTGTAATCATCACAAACTCTTATTTTAGGCTTGGAGCTGCCTCTAAACTTCATTGTCGAGTGAGAGGCAGAAACCTTTCTCAGACACCACTCCTACCACACAGGCGCATGGCGAGGCGTGGGCAGGAGTGAGCTCCTGCCTTCTGGGGAAATCCTCTGGCGGTGGGGACACGTTGCCCTCCTTGGTGTCCCCAGCCTTTTACTGCACGTGTTCAGGCACAGGACAGATGCTCTAGCACCAGGGACGTGGTGACAAAAAGTCCTCGCCTGTCCTCAGGTTGATGTGGGCACAGCAGGAGAGGCTTCTCAGAGGACGCAGATCAGCTGCTCACATCGGGGTTCCAGAAGGTGGCGCTTGGAGCAGCGTGGGGGCCGAGCAGGGTGTCTGTGAGGACATAGGTGAGAGGGCCCAGTGGGAAGGAAGGAGCTTCTGCCCTTGCACGGACTGGCCTAACTCTCAGAGGCTTTAAAATTGAGCAAGGCGTCAAGTCAGGCTGGCACGAAGCAAAGAAATCAGGCTAAGGTAAGGGACGGAGAGGGATGTACGCATGGTCAGGAGGACAGCAGTGGCTCATTGTCACACACGGGTGGCTGCAAGGCGAGTGCTCACAGCACAGACCTTTCGACCTTTCTCTGTGATTGAAAACTCCCAAAATAAAATGTTGGGGGCGGAAATTGCACAGTCGCATCGGGAAGGGTGAGCCGCCCCCAGGACAGTTCTCCGGGAGGCGTGCCTGCCACCAGGCATCTGTGTGACACTCCCCCCAAGTGCATCATTTCCTCGTTCAGAGGATTGTGGTCTTTCCAGCTATTACCTCAGTGTCTCATTCTAAATGGCAAACTGCTTTTTCTAGGTTTATTTATGAAACAGAGCATCACAACGGCATAGCAGAATTACTGGAAATCCTGGGGAGGTGAGTGCTGTGCGCCTGGCAGTGACGTGGAATTTATTCCAGAATGATCCAGTTCACGGAGTCGAGAGCCCTCTCCAGAGCGAGGCAATTGAAACCATTTCCAAAGGAACCAAGACCTCGCTTGATGGAAGGGGTGGGTGAGGTCTTGGGTTAGAGCCCCCCAGACAAGAAGCCTTCTTGTGTACACGGCTCCGTGCACAGATTCTGTTCCACATGCCTCCTTGAAGATGGCTAAGAGGGTTTATGTTTTGACATTTAGAACGGATCGTTTATTATACCTTGGGGGTATTGAGTAAATGCTAACATTTCTAATTGCTTTCATTTTATAAATTTTTCATATGTATACTTGTAACATTAACGTTTCAGAAATTTCACCATCTTCGCTCAAGTAGAGTTCTTGCTTGCTACCATTTTTTTTTCATCAGTGACCTATAGATTTTATATCAGACCTCCAACCCGCTCTTTCCCAAAGAGAGTGCCTTGGGGTTCCACAGCCAAATAAACTTGGAAGTGCTCTCCCGGCACCTTCCCTGGGGACTCAGCTGCGTTAGCAGCTGAAGGTCCTGTGGGGAGGGGTCCTCTTCGCTGGTGTTTAATCTGATGATCCCCACAGCCTTCGGGACACAAGAAACCTGTCTCAGGGAACACTGTCAGCTTCCAGTCGATCTGTGCTCCAGTCGCACTGAGAAGACGGTGCTCGCTATTTTAGATCTAACTTGAAAAAACCATCAGTCCTTGTGGAGAATTCTGCTTTGACCTGCGTCAGCACATTGGGCGGGTTTCTCTCGCTCAGGAGAGCGTAGCGAGCGGTCCAGGGGCCCTTCCTAGTTCCACTCTCGGCTGCCGTTTCCTTAGCAAGGTGGGGGATGATCCCCTCACAGGGCTGTCGCTAGGACGGCGCGCTGTGTGAGATGTCCAGCGCGGCCGGGCACTGCATGCGCACAGGCCTCCACGCTCCCAGCAGCTGGGATCGCTGATTTTATCCCCCTGGAAGAGTTGTTTGGTCTTGTGGGCCTCCCCCATGTGAAGGAGCAGGTCGTCGCTAATGCCCCCTTCAGACAGACCCTGCCTCCTGGATGGCACGGAACAGTCTAGAACTCGCTTGACTGCTCTGTGGCCCTACCACGTGTCTGTGCTTCCCTAATAATAAAACCAGATAAATAGTAAATAACGAAGCCTGCTTGCCCAACTGGGCACCAGTAGATAAGCTACTTGACATCAGAGACCAAAACTTCAGTTTATTTTTTTTTAAGTTTATTTATTTTTGAGACAGAGACAGAGCACGAACGGGGGAGGGTCAGAGAGAGAGGGAGACACAGAATCGGAAGCAGGCTCCAGGCTCTGAGCCATCAGCCCAGAGCCCGACGCGGGGCTCGAACTCATGGACCGCGAGATCGTGACCTGAGCTGAAGTCGGACGCTTAACCGACTGAGCCACCCAGGCGCCCCCAAAACTTCAGTTTAAAGACTAGGATCAAGACCCCCTTTCTCTGCAGGAGGGAGCAGCTTTCTGGCTGATTCTTAACCAGCTCCCGTTCTGCACACACAGACTCACTTCTGCCAGCATTAGGGTAATGAACCCGAATTTCTCGGGGGAAGTGTGACTTCCTAAAAGTGGGTAAAGGCCAAGGGAAGGTGCCAGCTGTGGAGCTGGAGTCCCACCTGAGCTGCCCGGCCTCCAGGCCTGTCGAAAGAAGCCAGTGTCGCCCCCAGGGACTCCTGTTCTGGGTAACGCCCCACAAACCAGAATTTTAGAATTATCTTCTAGTTACTAACAAAGATAAAAATGACTATGCTTCTTGGAAGGTATTTCATTTTCTTTGTAATTTCTGCTAATGTCCGCCTCTTTTGTGAAACGTACATTTCGCTTACTGATAGTTGTGCTGAAAGTCAAGGCTTTTTTTTTAACCTGGAATTTGTGAGTAATCAGACTTGGAATATATTCTGTTTTCGCAGCATAATTAATGGATTTGCCTTACCACTAAAAGAAGAGCACAAGATTTTCTTATTGAAGGTGTTGCTACCTTTGCACAAAGTGAAATCTCTGAGCGTCTACCATCCACAGGTAAGGGGTGCTCCGCAGCATTATGTCGGTGGGGGCGTGCACTAGTTGGGTGTCTCCATGTGAGCGGCAGTGAGCTCGGACACAGAACCCCAGCCGTTCCCTGGGGGTGCGCTCACGTCGCCTTGCAGATGTCGTTTCTGGTGATAATTGAAAGGATACAGGGGGGCGCCTGGGTGGCTCAATCGGTTGGGCGTCCGACTGCAGCTCCGGTCACGATCTCGCAGTTCATGCGTTCGAGTCCCGCATCGGGCTCTGTGCCGACAGCTCGGAGCCTGGAGCCTGCTTCGGGTTCTGTGTCTCAGTCTCTCTGTCCGTCCCCAGCTCATGCTCTGTCTCTCTCTCTCTCTCTCTCTGTCTCAAAAATAAACATTAAAAAATAAATCAATCAAATTTGGCTCCTTCAAGGAAAAATCTCTCTGCAGCCAGTGAAATGGCCTACGAAAATGTGAGTTTTTTAACTAAGCTGTGGGCTTTTTACAGTTTGCAGAAATCTACAGTTTCACTGAAAATTCGGTCAGTAAGTGTTGATACCCGGTTAGCTGGCCGCACTTTGCCAGAAGAGGAGGTTTTTCCTTCACTTTTGCCCCCGTGAATCCTGCGTAGACAAGTGCCGAGGGTTGGGGACAGGCCACGTGCCCGTTCACCAGCAGCTCTGAGTGGCTCTGGCAGCCAGTGGGCACCTCTGTCCCTCACGTTGGGAGAGGCTTGGGATGAATCACAGAAAGCCTATTCTTGACTTGATTCTAATGACGTCGGCTTCCTGGGAAGTATTTTACTTTGAGGCATTTTTTTTCCTTCTCTTTGCTGTTAACTGGTGATAGTATCTTTATATCCAACCAGATCGTGGTCCTGTTGATTGTTTTTTTAATTAAGTTTATTTATTTTTGAGAGAGAGCAAGGGACAGTGAAGGAGGGGCAGAGAGAAAGAGAGAATCCCCAGCAGGCCCCACACTGTCAGTGCAGAGCTGGACACGGGGCTTGAACTCACAAACCGTGAGATCATGACTGGAGCCTAAACCAAGAATCAGACACTCAGCCCACTGAGCCTCCCGGGCGCCCCCTGTTAACTGTTCTATAGAAGAGGGATTAACAGTTCAGAGGTTGAAGATGGAAGCAGATTTTAATTTGGTTTTTCCCAGCTCTTAGGTCACTTGTTCATTACAGTCTCCAAAAAGACCAGGAGAAAAATCCCCATCAACCCCGGGCTTACCTGTTGGTGTTAGTCCAGAAGGCTGTCTCCTGATTTTTTTAGCTTTCTGCTGCACCTGGTCCCCGACAGTCCCCATCAGAGCCCCGGCAGGGCTTGTGGCGGGGAGCCCGTGCCCGCCCGGCGGGCGCCACCTGGAGGGACGGGGGCAGCACGTGGCAGCGGGAGACGCGGCATTGCCGGGTCACAGCACGGGGTTGACGCTTCCTCTCCTCCTTTCCAGCTGGCGTACTGCGTCGTGCAGTTCTTAGAGAAGGACAGCACCCTCACCGAACCGGTGAGTACCTTCCCCGGCCGGGCGGTGGCGTCACGTGTGGGCGGTGGCGTCACGTGCGGGCTTCCCTGCGTGTGGGTACCGAGGTAGGTCCGCGGGCCACAGAGCCGTCCAGACCGCTTTTCACTTCGAGTCACACTGCCGACAGACGCACCGATTTCCTGCACATGCTGTGTGCTTTCAGACTGTCGTGATTTTACTTACAAGTTCCGTTACTGCGGCGATTATTGTACACGATCGGATTGCCGTCCTCTCTGTGCGGGGCTTGACTCCTTCGAACGTGACACGCTTGAGCGGTCGTGGTCGCTGGGTCGCGTGCCGGACTGTGTGAGATCTTGGTCTAACCACGCTGGTAACCGGCTTCGGTCAGACCACCCGCAGTGAGTTCTCGAAACGCTTGTGCCAAAGAGCCTTACGGCCTGAGAAGTTCCTTCCGCCTTCGAGGGTAGCGACTCCGTGTTCGCTGAGTCGACCGTGACAGGTTGCTGCCACTGAGCGTTCAGATCTCCCAATTTCTTGGGTGTGATCTTTCTTAGAAATGAAAAGCGGTTGTGGCCCAGATTAACAAAGTTGAGTGTGTTGGGTGCCAGGCTAAGCATTTGAATGTGCTTTTTTTAACAGCTTTATCGAGATATAATTCACATGCCATACAATTCACCCACTTAAAGTGTACCATTCAGTGGCTTTTTGGTATATTACGCTATCGATTATTGTAATCGTGGTGAAGCATATACAACATGAAATTTGCCATTTTCAGTGCACGAGGGGCATGAGTTACATCCCAGGGCCACACAGCTGTCACCACTGTTCCAGAACTTTGTCATCACATTGCCCCAGACAGAAACTGCCCCCCCCCCCACTCTGTCCCCCCCCCACCCCACCCCCGGACACCGACTCCCGCTTCCCCCCTGCCCGCCCCTGGTGACCTCTCACCTGCCTCTGTCTCTACAAGTTTGCCTCCTCGGGGCACCTCAGATGGGTGGCATCGCGTAGGACGTCCTCAGGGCTCGTGCAGGCCGTGCCTGTGTCGGAACTCCATCCCCGGGTGTGGCCGTGCACTCTCCCTTTCTCCCTTGTGTGGTGTTCATCTGCTCCTCTATCTGTGGACGCTGGGCTTGCTTCCATCCCTTGTGATCATGCGAGCCGTGTGGCTGTGAACGTGGCCGTGCAGGTGTCTGTGCAAGTCCCTGCTCTCAGTCCCACTGGGCGTGCAATTCAGAGTGGAATTGCCGGATCAGGCAGGAATCCCGTGTTTAGCCTTGTGAGGGGCCACCAGACTGTCCTCCGCAGTGGCCACATGGGGTTTCAGGGTCCCACTTTCTCCGTCATCACTTGTTGTCCCTTCTTTTATTCTAGCACCTAGTGAGTGCATGGTGGTGTCTCTCGGTGGCTTTTTGACTTGCATTCCCCTCTTGACTGGAGACGTTGGGCATCTCTTCCAGCACCTGTTGGCCACCCGTGGGTCTCGGACAAACGTCTTTAGATCCACAGCCCATTTTTTATTAACTGGTTGTTTTTTATCATTGAGTAAGATGATACTGAGTGAGAAGTACTGAGTGCCAGTTTCAGTGTTTGAATATTCTTTTCAAAGTTACTGGTGGAATAAGAAAGGCAAATGTCATCATTCCGGCATCTTCTCTGTCCCCTTGGCCGTCTTTCACAGTGGTCCCATGAGGCTGTGTTTTATAGTGGAAATGCATGAGGAATCCGTAATGCTCTGTTTGCAAGTTACACGGGCTCCTGATCTCTGCTTTTTCTGAGCTTCTAAACTCCAAACGTAGACACCATGTGTCACCCACCAACTCAGGAAAAGCCCTTGACATCACCCCCCAACGCCTGCCCAGCTCCCCTTCCCGGGGCCCCCGCACGCCTCCGCCCCAGCTCTGAGATTCTGGAAGCCCCCAAGGAAAGGCACCAAACTTACCAGACTTCAGTGTCAAACCAGGAGAGTTTCCCCCACTTAGACTAGGGTATCCGCCTTGAGAGAAAACTTGGGAAGCACCAGGGATAAAGCCTCTTCTCCAGTGGTGCCCTGTGCTCAGTTCCTCTGAGTTTGAAGGACGTCTCCAAACTAAAGGGTGAGAACCAGGGGTGCCTGGGTGGCTTAGTCAGTTGAGCGTCCGACTTCAGCTCAGATCTTGGTCTCACAGTTGGTGAGTTCAAGCCCCGTGTCGGGCTCTGTGCTGACAGCATGGAGCCTGCTTCAGATTCGGTGTCCCCTTCTTTCTCTGCCCCTTCCCCTGTTTGTGCTCCCTCTCTTTCTCTGTCAAAAAAGAATAAACATTAAAAAAAATGAAGGGTGAGAACCGTTGCTGGAAAAAGTAATATGGGAACAGATTCTAACACATGCCTTTTCCTTTTCTGACTCTTCACTGTGTATGTTTCTCATACTCTTTGGGGGCTAAAGAATCCACCCGGTCTTGGCTGCGTTTACCCCACACCAGGCCTTTGGTGTGGCACCCCGGACCCCGGCCGGGTCCGTCGCAGCCCAGGTCCCAGTCCTGCTTCGGCAGGCCTCCGTTCTCCTGCGCCCGAGAGTAGGGTGAAGGCTGACAGGGCTCGTGTTTAGTTCCCACTGGTCGAGCTGGTAGAACCTCGCAGGAGCGAGAGCCCTCAACTGCAGCTGACGGACGGCAGGCTGGCTGCGATTGGGCCCTGACATCTCGGGCACAGAGAAGCTTCGGGCCCCCACACGCCCCAGGATTGCCACCCAGAATCACTTCGTTCCTGGATTCCCTACAGCGCAGACAACATAATGCTGTCTCTCGGCCACAGAAAGCAGATTTAGTTTTCTTCACGTTGAAAACATTCAGACCCTCGCCTTAGTGAGCGCCTTCCTTTGAAATTCACATATTATGAAAATACAAAGGCTGATCTGTCTTACTTCAGCACTGAAAGTTTGTTGGTAATAAAAAGAACGGGTAAACTCTTGTGAAGGAACGTGTCCGCTCAGCAGCACTAAGAAGGACACGGTACACACATGGGTCTCAGGGTCCTGGACCCAAGGCGCCCCTGAAGCTAGTGCGGCCAAGGTCAGGAATGTTTAAGTATGATACGTTTAAAAGACCTGTATTGCTCCCGTTTAAGGTCTGTAATTAATCTTTCTACTTGTAAACTGTGTATGGTGCTGAAAAGCTTCCTGGGCACGTTGAACACATACACTGTTGTAAGAACGGGAGCTCGGCAGATCGTGGACAGAAGTAAAATCATGCTTTCACGCACCTGTTGCTTTAGGCTACTCGACTTTTACTACAGGGTCTGGCGGGAACTCTTTTTCCCTGGTATTCAGGGGAGGGGGCTCCCCAGGCACCAGGCCAGAGCCACTAGCATGCACGCCCGGGCTCACCTGCCCTCCCCAGCTCTGTCCGGAGAGCGGCAGCCTGTTGAGTTTCCGAAGGAAAGTTCGGCGCGTGACGTGCAGAGAGCCGCTTTTGCCTAGATCAGCTTCCCAGGCAGGCCCCTCTTCGCCAAAGCGCTGCCAAGCTCCAAAGCCATGGGTACCAGCCATAGGTTGTTCCCAGTAGTGTGAAAAGTAGGTCCAGCGTGGGGCTCTGATTCCAGAAACAGCACCTTTTCCAGAGACATTGAGTAGCTAAACCAGGTGTGTTCTGTGTCCCGTGTATCACTGTATTTTTCCTAATAAAGCTCCATTTGACAAACGTCAAGGAAGAGTGGCTTTGCGAAGTGAGTGACACCTGCTGTGTTCTTTTTTTTTTTTAATTTTTTTTTCAACGTTTATTTATTTTTGGGACAGAGAGAGACAGAGCATGAACGGGGGAAGGGCAGAGAGAGAGGGAGACACAGAATCGGAAACAGGCTCCAGGCTCTGAGCCATCAGCCCAGAGCCTGACGCGGGGCTCGAACTCACGGACCGCGAGATCGTGACCTGGCTGAAGTCGGACGCTTAACCGACTGCGCCACCCAGGCGCCCCAGACACCTGCTGTGTTCTTAACAGTGGCTCCCCGACTGCTGGTAGATAGCAGGTGCTCAGTAAATGTTCACTGAGTGATTTTGAGCAACAAGTAGGAGAAAAAAATCATTAAATCATCGATTTTTTTTTTTAAGAAAGTATTTTTAGAGATCATCATGCTATAAATGTTTAGATCAGACTTCAGAACTAGGAGGATTTTCTTATAAATTTTGGGGTTTTATAAAATGTAATACCATAAAAGATTACCCAGGAGCCTGAATGCCAAAAGCATTCTCAGAGCTGTCCTAGCCGGACGTTGTTCGAAGGCCCACCGTGTTTTTAGCCACGGCAGCGAGCAGCTGGCCTGCCGAGCTCTGCAGGGGTGTCTGTACAGCCAGTGGAAGCCACCAGCCGCCCCGGACGGGCTGACATTCGCAGTGATTTTCACAGCCGTCCTGATGCTAGGGGTTGAGACAGCGGTTCCCGAAATGGCCGTGACCGGCAAAGGGCTGCTTGAGAGTGACCGGTTGCTGTCGTACATGGGCAAGCGTGCACGTGTAATTGTGTGCAAATGTTGTGGGTCCTTGTACTATTTTAGAATTAAGGTGGCTCGCCTCTAGAAATACGTATTCTTAATCCTCACCAAGCCAAATCTGATATTTTGGGTGGACGATCTTTACTGGTGTGGTTGCAGGAGGAAATTTGGAAACTAAAGGAGGGAGGTGAAGAAAGGTTGCCCCACGGAAACTCCTTCTACCCGTCTGACTTGGGCAAGGAACACAAGGTCCAGTCCCCACAAACGAGGAAGCTGCCACCATCCGGCTCAACGTGCCTCGAGGGGGCGGGCCGCACAGATGCTCCCTGGCGGGGTCCCATCTGAGGCCGCGCTGCTGTGCCGTCCGCGGGCCAGCGCTCAGATGCAAGGTCCTCGCGGCCCCTGGAGGCAGTTACCGGCCCGAGGTCACTGGTCACGCACACAGGGGACAGCAGGGCCCGACCCCGGATCCCTCCGCAGCCCTGCGTGGCGTGAGCTGGTAACAGCGTCAACTTACTCCATGTCTCTCTCCTTTGATACATTTTAGCACAGTTTATTTAGCACAGTCGAAACACCACGTGTACACACGTAGTACATACGTTTACGTATAAATACACGTGAAAGATCGATTGGAGATCAACAGATTGTGCATACGCACGTGTGTCGCCAACACTCTCAGAACTGGCCGCTTGTGCACCGAACGAATACACGAGCTCATATGCTTCCTGTTTCTCCATTGTTCTTTCTCTCTCAACCCTCCGAACTGCTTGTTTTTTAACCTATTTATTCCTAAAAGGACCTACTCCCGTGGCGGTCCAAGAGAGAGGGTCACAGAAATTAAAGTTGCATTTCTTAAGCAAATAAGTTTGACCTGTTTCTCTAATTATAAAAAAAAAAAAAAAAAAAAAAAAAAAAAAAAAAAAAAAAAAGTGCTAATTTACTGAATTGCTGTTCCTTCTGTAAGGAACAGAGCAGCACCTTCTTGTGATGCTCTGCTTGCGGGGGGGGACACCCTCATGAAAAACAGAACTCTTAACTCACAGATGCCGGGTATCACGGACGTCACGCCGTGTGTTGTCTCTTCGGTAGGTGGTGATGGCCCTTCTCAAATACTGGCCAAAGACGCACAGTCCGAAAGAAGTCATGTTCTTAAATGAGTTAGAAGAGATCTTAGACGTAATCGAACCATCGGAATTTGTGAAGGTCATGGAACCCCTCTTCCGGCAGCTGGCCAAGTGTGTGTCCAGCCCACACTTCCAGGTACACAGGGCGGGGGGAAGGGCCTCATGTCCGCGTCCGCGTCGGAGGTGACAGGCTTTGGGGTATCGCAGGTCATACTTGGCTTCTCGTGTAATTGGGAGGTAAACTCCCAGCCTAGCTGTACTTCAAAATAAGATGCTAGGACCTTAATTCTGTCAAACGCACCCCAGCATCTCGACCCCCTCCCTGAAAACATGTTTCTCGCCAAGAGTGATTAGTCCTGGCCCCTCTGTGAACCTGTCTTTATGTTCAGTGTGCCCCAAATGCGTAAAACCCTGCCGTCCACAGCTGAGGGGTGGGCACTTGTAGGTGACATAAAACTCGGCCCCCACAAGCACTTTGTTTCCAACACACACACGTTCTGACTTTTGTCCCCCACCCAATCCTGTTTGAGGGGCGCCCCAGTCACATCCTGCTTTCCTCGGCCCCTTGTGCAGCCTTCCGGGCCTCATTCTGAGGTCGTCCTCAGGGCCCGTGCTTAGCCTGTCTGCCTCCATTGGACATACTGGCCTGTATCACCAGCTCACCGTGAGCAAGGCGGCCCCACCCACGTGCCCTTGCTCACTGGCTGTCCCCACTGGGCTCCTCCTGGCCCTCTTCCAGCCACCGCACCCCCCTCCCCGCACCACCTGACACCTGCCCTTCCTCCATCAGGGCCCTCCTGGGGATGCATTCTGCCCCACACATGTCCCCTTCCTAGCTGCTGCGTGCCCCCCGACCTACCCCTTCTAGTAAATTCATTCTCCCCTCATTGGTCTTCCCCCCCAGAACGGAAGCTCCGCTCCCCCTGCTCACTGCTGACGCCTCAGAGCCCCGCGCTGGGTAGGGGTGGGTGGAAGGCGTGAGGAAGGAAGGCGGTTGACCTGTGTCCTCAGTGGTAGCCCAGGGTCCGGTGTAAGTGTGTGTTGAGTGAGTGGAGGAAAGAGTGACCGTTTTCCTGCTGTACAAGAAGTCCTCTCCCTTTGGTTGAGGGCTCTTCAGGGTTACGGTCTGGAGCATTTGGGGTTTGTGGAGATGATTCTCTAACCCAGTGTAATTCGTTGCCTGTTCACAGAGTCGTGGGGAGGGCATTGCTGGATGTTTGTCGCCATGGTCACAACAGCTGTGCCCTCCGTCTTCCAGGTGGCGGAGCGAGCGCTGTATTACTGGAACAATGAGTACATCATGAGTCTGATCAGCGACAACGCGGCCAAGATCCTTCCCATCATGTTCCCGTCCTTGTACCGCAACTCCAAGACCCACTGGAACAAGTGAGCGAGCCGGCTGCCGCCCGCGGGGCCCTGGAAAACTTTGCAAATCTTGCTGATGCCTCAGCCCAATTAAGTCTGAGATAGCAGTTAAAAACCAAAACGTAGATTTGTTTGTTTGTTTGTCTGTTGGGCTCACAGTGAAGTAGGAGCGGGACTGTATCTGTGGCCTTGTCTTCGCCTCCTCGCCCCCGTTTCACGCCAACACGGAGGCAGGTTTGTTGGGGCAGCGCCTTCCTGGCCTCGCCGTAGGGACCCCTCCCAAGGAGCTGAAGGCGGCCGCGAAGCCTCACGGGGCGCAGTCCCCGCGGGAGCACGGGGGCCACCCCGAGCCTCGGCCACGCTCTCTGGGGACCCCTCCAAGAGAGCACGAGCCACCCGCCTGTGCAAGGGCCGAGCAGGGACTAGAAACACAACCTCGGGAGTCTCGGATTTGCTTCTCTCTCCCTCGTCCTGCCCCTTTAGCAAGGATAGAGACACTGGGCAGCGGTCTTCTGACACCTTGAAGGGAACAGTCAGTGCGGGTTCCCGACTGGTGCTCGCATCACTTTCCGTTTACGTGACTACGGGCCCCAGGGCTTTGCTGTCGCCTCCTTCTCTCCTTTCGGCCCTTTTTCTATACGATAGTCGTTCAATCAGATCCGAAAGCAGGGGGCAGAGCCTCCATACCCAGTGCCGCCCCCGTGTTTACAGGCGAGGAGAGCAGGACTCGGGGCGGTGGCCAGTGGCGGTCGGGCCACACTCGCGAGCTGGCGGTCCGGCTCGCAGGGTCTCGCGCACACCCTCCCACCGTCCCGGCTCACGTCCTCGCCCCCTCTCGCTCGGCCACAGTTTCCTCATCTGAGAAATAGAGAATGTTGGCATCCGCCTCGGTGGTTTGTGTTGATTCATCAAGAAAATCCGTGCTCACGTGCAGAAAGCACTTGCAGCCACCATCACCTCCTTGTGAAGTTCATGGAGGTGAGGCTGATAGATGTAGGGTCCCAGGCACCTAACCGGTATCCGGTGAACGTTCGCCGTGGGCACGCGGCTGTAGGGGTCGCAGCCCCAGCCGCCGGGTCCTGGGTGTGTACGGCCCAGCAGACCCCGCCTCAGTATCTCGACTTTCAGCAACCTTTTCTATGTAACGTGCATTTCTCATTGCGCTCAGCAGGTGACGGAGCGTAGCCCTCGTCCCTGTGTGTCATTTAGTGTGACAGGAGAGTCAGCAGTGACTGCTGACCGGCTGCAAAGCCCTGCCGGTTGCAAAGAAAGAAGGGTTATTTCAGGTGTTTCCAAATGCGAGTTGGGTATCATGAAGTGAGTTCAGAAGTAGCTGTGAATCCTGCAACAACCACAAAAGCAGCAGCAGCAGCAGCAGTCACGGTTCGAGGCTGAAGTTTTTCTGCCGTTGCTCACGACGCTGTGGGTTGACCAGGCTCTGCTGGGCAGTTCTTGCTTTGGGGAGGTTTTTTGGTCTTAATTTTTCTTTTTTTTAATTATTTTTGAGAGAGAGAGAAAGCACAAGCAGGGGAGGGGCAGAGAGAGAGGGAGACACAGACTCTGAAACAGGCTCCAGGCTCTGAGCTGCCAGCACAGGGCCCGATGTGGGGCTCGAACCCACAAACTGTGAGATCATGACCTGAGCCAAAGGAAATCGGACGCTTAACTAACAGCCACCCAGGTACCCCAGGGCAGTTCTGCTCACCTCACCGTGTTCCCCTTGTGGCTGTCGTCTGATGGCGAGGGGGACTGGCGTCCTCTCCGGACCCCACCGGGTCTCAGAGCAGCGGGGCCTCCCCCCTCTCATGGGTGTCAGAGCCGGGAAGTTAAGTGCCATTAAGCTATCCTATGGTAATTTTATATTCTGTCTTCCAGAGCTCTGTTTTGGCATGATTAAAAACTTTTCTGTTCTTAATTAATAAGATTAAAAGGAAACTGACGTTTATGGGAAATAAAGGGTTTCCGTTATTGTCCCCAACACATCCCAGTGGGTTTTAATTACGTATACATTCTCAAATGTTTGTTTCTAAGAGAGAAAGGGCGTGAGTGGGGGAGGGACAGAGAGAGAAAATCCAAGCAGGCCCCTGCTGCCAGCACAGAGCCCGACACGGGGCTCAAACTCACACACGGTGAGATCAGGACCTGAGCCGAGATGAAGAGTCGGACGCTTAACCGACGGAGCCACCTAGACGCTCCTGAACTGTATTTTTTCAAGTTTCAACATTTTTTTATTCTGTTTCCAAGGAAGGTGGTTTTTGGCCGCCGTCAGCCAGGACACCGCACCGAGAGGCCTCGGGGCCGGCTGCTCCGTGAGGGGCCTAGTGGCCGCCGCACGGGCTGGGAGGCCTGGGAGCCGTCGGGCCGAGCGGGGAGGAGGAGGGCTGTGGCCGCGCAGGGCGAGGCGGGGAGGGGTGGAGGGACAGGTGGCGTGTTCGAAGCCTGAACAGGAAGTTCTGCTTACAGGACAATACACGGCCTGATCTACAACGCACTGAAGCTCTTCATGGAGATGAACCAGAAACTGTTTGACGACTGTACCCAGCAGTTCAAAGCGGAGAAGCTGAAGTAAGTTGCCCCCTTCCAAAGCTGCTCCCTCGAGGACTTTTTCCTCGGTCCTGAATAGACCTCTTCCGTTGTTTGTCCGGAAAAGCCCATCAAGTCGCTAAAGCAAAGTCAAGTCTCTCATACTTGGAAAACAAATGAAAACGTGTCGTGTTAGCTCATCTGCAGAGAACTTCTCTGTCCCCCGTTCCCCTCACCCCCAC